GTCGTGGGGGGGGGGGGGGGGGGGAGGTTCAGAGGCTGTTTCTTTGTTTTTTATAAGCAGTGTTCATTGCCCTCTTCCTTTTTAAGTGGCATAGTAGTGATGAGGTGATCTCTCTCTCTCTCTCTCTTTCGTTTCACATACATATGGATAGGTCATTGCCTGCATGTTTTTGCATTAACAATTTGATTTGAGGAAGTTTTCTTCTCGAGTTTTACCCTTGGCCTTGAGATTCATCTCTGTTTTCCAGTTCTTCAGTTTATAGGTGCTTTTGTTGTGATATTTTTGGAGTTTCGTGGGAAAAAAGATTAATTTTTGCCTCAAGATCAGCAATTTGATGCTTTCAGACAAATCGACTAAACCAAGAGTGGAAGTGTTTTGATGTACCACCCGAAGATGTGTAATGATTTTTTTCCTCCTAATTCATTGTTTATATATAGTAATGTTTGCAACTAAGTATGAGAGCTAAGAGACATGTTGAAATGTAGTAGGAATCTTTAGAGAAAAGAGAAAGAGAGCTTTCTGTCTATAATTTTAATGTAATTTGAAATATTTATGGTAATCCTGGTTTTGATTTTCTTGATCTTATTGAATTTGCAGGTTCTGGTGAATAAGTATATAATTTTTCAGAGCAAACTTTTGTATAATGGCCTCAAGATTCTTCAAAACTTCAGACACACAACCTGGAAGAGCTCCAGGTCCTCCAACTGTGACATTTGCTCAGAGGACATCATCAGGTAGAGATGTCAATTTGTCAAGGGATAGTCTTGATAGTGACATAAGTGGTTTGGAATTCCCAAACTACACGGTTCAAATACCAGCAACACCTGATAATCAGCCAATGGATCCTTCGATGAGGGTGGATCCGCCAATGTCACAGAGGGTTGAAGAGCAGTATGTATCAAGTTCTTTGTTTACTGGTGGCTATAAAAGTGTTATCCGCGCTCACTTGATGGATAAGGTGATCGAGTCTGAGACTATCCATCCTCAAATGGCTGGAGCAAAAGGTTCTTCATGTGCAGTCCCCGGTTGTGATGGAAAGGTCATGAGTGATGAGAGGGGAGAAGATGTTCTCCCTTGTGAATGTGATTTCAAGATATGCAGGGATTGTTTTGTTGATGCTGTCAAAACTGGTGACGGGATCTGTCCTGGTTGTAAAGAGCATTATAAGAATACAGATTTGGCTATAAACTCGGTGGTGCCTGGTCAACCTTTATCTCTGCCATCAAATATTGGGATGTCAAAAATGGAGAGGAGGTTGTCACTGATGAAATTGTCAAACAGGTCTGCACTAATAAGGAGCCAAACTGGGGCTGATTTTGATCACAATAGATGGTTGTTTGAGACCAAGGGGACTTATGGCTATGGCAATGCTATATGGCCAAAGGATGGAGGATTGGCAGACGATAAAGATGATGAGACTGGCGAGCCTCGGAAACTTCTTAATAAACCTTGGAGGCCACTCACCCGCAAATTGAAGGTACCTGCTGCAGTACTCAGCCCATATCGGTAAAGTCATTATGCTTTATTGCTACATATACTGTTTCTATAGTTGTCATTGTTTTCTCTTCTGTTTATATGCATCCCCTAAAATTATTATTTGGGTTATTTGGAAATATCATATGTGAAATCAAAACTATTGAGATGTAGGTAAGGAATATAATATAATGACAAAAGAAGATGTAAAATAATGGTTTAGTAAAGGTGTTGTGTGCTTACATCTAGTGGAAATCTATCAGTTATGTAAAATAATGGTTTTGTATACAGTATATCATTTCACTTTATTAATTATAGTATTTTTCCTGGAACTTCAATGCAGCGAACTTATAAACGTCACGATTAAGCTCATGTTCTTCTGAACTTGCCAAACATTAGTGTGAAAAATATAATGTTAAGCCATATTTGTATGAATTTGAACTTTAAGAGGTACAAGAGGCTGATAAATATTTTGTGTACTTGAATCTTGCAGACTCTTAATTTTTATTCGTATGGTTGTACTTGGACTATTTCTTGCATGGAGGATTAGTCACCCCAATGAGGATGCAAGATGGCTATGGTTTATGTCAATTATTTGCGAGATATGGTTTGCCTTCTCCTGGCTACTTGATCAACTTCCTAAGCTCTGCCCTATTAATCGTGCTACGGACCTTAATGTGTTGAAAGAAAAATTTGAAACACCCAGTCCAGCCAATCCGAATGGAAAATCTGATCTTCCGGGAGTAGATATATTTGTTTCTACAGCTGATCCAGAAAAAGAACCTCCACTTGTTACTGCAAATACTATTCTGTCTATTCTTGCTGCTGATTACCCTGTTGAAAAGCTCTCTTGCTATGTATCTGATGATGGAGGTGCACTCTTGACATTTGAAGCCATGGCCGAAGCTGCGAGTTTTGCTAACATGTGGATACCTTTCTGCAGAAAGCACAACATTGAACCAAGAAACCCAGAACCTTACTTCAGCCTGAAAAAGGATCCCTATAAGAATAAGGTGCGGCCAGATTTTGTCAAGGATCGTAGGAGGGTAAAGCGTGAATATGACGAATTTAAGGTTCGAATCAATGGCCTTCCTGATTCAATTCGCCGTCGTTCTGATGCTTATAATGCTCGAGAAGAAATTAAGGCCATGAAGCTTCAGAGACAGACAGCTGGGTTTGAACCAATGGAACCTGTGAAGGTCTCTAAAGCAACGTGGATGGCTGATGGGACCCACTGGCCAGGCACTTGGACAGTTCCTACTCATGAGCATTCTAAGGGTGACCATGCAGGGATCATACAGGTAATTGAAAACATTTGGAATTTATAATTGGCTTTAACAAAGAATGCAAACTGTATATAATCTACTATTTGAGTTCTTTGTGCTGTAGAGTAAGTCAGCTGACAAGCTCTGGCTTTGTAAACTGCAGGTAATGTTGAAACTTCCAAGTGAAGAACCTCTTCATGGGACAACTGTAGACAACAACAGTCCACTTGATTTTACCCAAGTCGACATCCGGCTTCCCTTGCTTGTGTATGTTTCTCGTGAAAAACGTCCTGGGTATGACCACAATAAGAAAGCTGGGGCCATGAATGCGTTGGTACGAGCCTCGGCCATAATGTCCAATGGCCCATTTATACTTAACCTTGACTGTGATCACTACATTTACAACTCTCAGGCAATAAGAGAAGGCATGTGTTTTATGATGGACCGTGGTGGGGACCGTCTTTGTTATGTCCAGTTTCCTCAGAGGTTTGAGGGAATAGATCCATCTGATCGCTATGCGAATCACAATACAGTTTTCTTTGATGTTAACATGCGTGCTTTGGACGGGCTTCAGGGTCCAGTTTATGTGGGCACTGGGTGCCTCTTTCGCAGGACTGCACTTTATGGCTTTGACCCTCCCCGATCAAAGGACTACCAATCTGGTTGTTGCAGCTGTTGTTTTTCTTGTCCTAAGAGAAGTTTGTCGGTTTCCTCTGCACCTGAAGAGCACCGAGCACTTAGAATGGGAGATTCTGATGATAATCAAATGAATCCTTCTCTCTTCTCTAAAAGGTTTGGAAACTCCGGTTTCCTTGTTGATTCAATCCCAGTGGCAGAATTTCAAGGCAGACCACTTGCAGATCACCCTGCTGTAAAGAATGGACGACCTCCTGGTGCTCTAACCATTCCCAGGGAAATCCTTGATGCATCTACTGTTGCTGAGGCAATTAGTGTCATCTTGTGCTGGTATGAAGATAAAACGGAGTGGGGCAATCGGGTTGGATGGATTTATGGGTCTGTTACGGAAGATGTGGTAACAGGTTATAGGATGCATAATCGCGGTTGGAGATCTATATATTGCGTGACTAAGAGGGATGCTTTCCGTGGTACTGCACCAATCAATCTAACTGACAGGCTTCACCAAGTCCTTCGATGGGCCACTGGTTCAGTCGAGATCTTCTTTTCACGTAATAATGCTTTTCTAGCCAGTCCTAAGATGAAGATTCTGCAGAGAATTGCTTACCTTAATGTTGGTATCTATCCATTCACCTCTGTGTTTCTGATAGTATACTGCTTCCTTCCTGCGCTGTCGCTCTTCTCTGGTCAGTTTATTGTCCAGACTCTAAATGTCACCTTCCTCACATACCTCCTCGTAATCACTTTGACGCTTTGCATGCTGGCTATTCTCGAGATCAAGTGGTCCGGCATTGCTTTGGAAGAATGGTGGCGTAACGAGCAATTCTGGTTGATTGGAGGCACAAGTGCGCATCTTGCTGCCGTGCTTCAGGGACTACTCAAGGTCATTGCTGGGATCGAGATCTCATTTACTTTGACGTCCAAATCTGCTGGTGATGATAACGACGATGACTTTGCTGATCTCTACATCATAAAATGGACGTCCTTGATGATTCCGCCAATTACTATCATGATAACTAACTTAATTGCAATAGCGGTCGGTTTTAGTCGGACAATATATAGCACCATACCGCAGTGGAGCCGTTTGCTCGGAGGAGTATTCTTCAGCTTCTGGGTTTTGGCTCATCTTTACCCTTTCGCAAAAGGACTTATGGGACGACGCCGGAGGACACCGACAATCGTGTTTGTTTGGTCGGGACTTATTGCAATCACCATTTCACTTCTCTGGGTTGCCATCAATCCCCCAGCAGGAAACAATGAAATTGGAGGGTCCTTCCAGTTTCCATGATTTTTCAGCATGGCTCATTTGGATATTTTAATTGGGCTCCAAATTATTCTCTTGCAACCTAACAACAAATATGGTATGGGGTCAATTTGTGGTCATCACTATCATAACTTCAATCTTTTGTTGCCTTAAATTTTTATAGGGAAAGATGGAACATACATTTTTTTGTACTTTCAACTTTGAAGTTGAAAATATTTTATTTATTCTTTATATTTTGGCATATTCTAAGCGTTTTGAGTTTTGAAGTTTTGAGAAAGAATCTGAATCCCATGGACATGTGATTCCCCTCTGATTCACTTTGGATCGAAGAAAATCGAGGCAACTTGTATTTTTTGAGGTTGCTGTGAATTATTCAGGGTACATTAGCATGATATATTCTTCAAGAAATCGAATGGATTAGCTCAGGATTAAACCTGAGCGACCTAGTAAAAATGAAAATGAATTTTACTTTTCGTCTTAAGCACAGGATATATTAGTTGTACACTTGTACAGCTTGCAAGACTTAAATAACTTGAGGTCAGGCGTTCATCTTGATATCTAGTGTTTGTGAATGACACTTCTAATTTCGACATATTTATATAAGTTCATTGAAATGATGTTATTCCATTCTAGTTCAAATAAGTCACTATTAATGAATCAAGAGGGGGGGGGGGGGGGGGGGGGGGGAACACGGATTCCTCATTCATATTTAGTTGTTAAGACTTAGGTATTTATTAAGCTTCGATAATTGTGTATAATTCGAGAGTAAAAATTCAGTCATTTTTCTCTAATGTCATCTAATGGTCAGTGAATAACATAACATTGTTGTCGAGCATGCAAACTCGTGATGATTATAAATTCCAATTGCACAATAGTATATACTGATATAATGCTATGAAATTATGGAGGGATCATCAGTCCTTCATCAGCCAAACTTGTTGATTCCTACTCATGGTAATAGCCTAGAAATCGAAAAGGGAACAAGAATGTATCTTCCTATTGAAGAACTGCACTAGTATGGATGAATTGAATCAAATGCATGCTCAAATTCTAAAGTTAGGATTGTTTTGTAAATCCTTTTGTGCCAGCAAACTTGTTGCCACCTGTGCTCTTTCAGAAGGGGCGGTATGGATTATGCATGCTCGATATTTAAACATATTGATGATCAGGGTTCATTTGAGTTCAACACCAGTTACCCTCACACATGAACCATCGTTGCCCTTAGGAGATTGCCGCCATCGTTGTAGTGCACTTAGATCAACGGCGATGGTTGGAGCAGGGCTCAGATTGGCTTTTCTTGCAATGCCACTATAGCAACTTTGTTGTGGTTACTGGAGTTAGGGGTTGATTTTGTGGTGTATTGAAAGTGAAAATGGTGGTGGGAGACTTGATGATTTTGTTGGTGGGGTGGTGGCTATGGAATGGTAATGTTGGGAGAGATGGTGATTTTAGCAGGCGTTGGTGGTGCAGTCATTGATTGGAGGTGGAGGTGGTGGTGGTGGGTGGTTTGTTGGAGCAGGATGCAGCGGCGATGTATGTGGTGGCGATGTGGATTTGGCAGCGATTTTTGTGTGGTGGTGCAAGTGGAGCATCATAATTGTACATTAAAAATCAAGAAAATAAATTTTAGTACAAAAAATAAACTTTAACATGGAGCATCGTAATTGTACATTAAAAATCAAGAACATAATGTCCCTTTGAGTATAGTATGTGACAATTATTCGACGATTATTCTCTAGTGAAAACATGACTTGAGGCATTGAATATGACGAAGTTTGCCTTATCCTTCTTATGGTCCCCATAGAAAATTTAAAAGCTCGATTTTTTAATGCTATAGTGTTCACGAAATCATCAAGATAATATATATAGTCGTAAAGGCATGAGTGATGACATGAAATTTATATATGGATGACCTTGCATTTGATTGATCGGCCCAAAGGTATTTATTTATTTTTTGTCTCTTTAGTTTGTGGAGTTTACTAGCATGTACATTCTTTCTAGATTTGTAATTTTTTTTCGATATATTCTAACTTTTCAAACCCCATCATGTTTTGGCAAAAACATGTATTGTATCAAACGTGTCTTCGACTAAATACTTTAATTTAAATGATTGAATATTTTAATAAGAGGAAGGTAAATGCTAATGGTCGTCCCTGCTCCTGTGTGGAATTGACATGTGTAAACTACATTGACTAACGAGTTAATTTAATGACTCTCGACAAAATGGAGGACAAAGACAAAATAAAAATAAAAAATAAAAACACCATTCGAACGTGTTAATTTTTGTCAATAATTCATGGCATGGAAGATTGAATCGGTCGATCCCAATGTAGTCACTTTAACATACATGATAGATTCACTTGGACCTACATGATATATAATTTGGAAGTAATCAAATAAAATTATTGTATATTCTCTAGTACACGTTCTTTTGTCTTGATTTGAATTTCGTACGAGTCAAAAGTTGAAGAACTCGACTAATGTTTTTCCTGCAAGACGTGCAATTTAAATTTTTTGAGTTTGAATTTATTCGATCCCAAATAGTATTTTACACTTAATTTAGCAAATGATTTGTGTAAAAAAAGAAAAAAAAATTCTTAGTTATGGTAAAATCTATTGGTCTGAACTGAAATAATGAAGCAGGACAATTGTGGTCATTATATTGGGAAATGTCAAGTTTGAAAGGCATACAACCTTATCCTAGTCGCAGTCTTCTTTCCGCCATTGTCTAATGCCATTATTGGACAAAAATAGTTGTCATTTATTCACTGTCGATTGAGCCAAATTTCGATTTCTTGATAATATATTCTTAGGTCATTAGTAAACACACAATTTGGTCAACGTGTTTTTTTTTTTTTTTTTTTAAACACACAATTTGGTCAAAGATTTTTTTTTTTTTTTTTTTTTTTTTCTTGGGAGGGATGCTTATAACAATGCCTTCCATTACATGCAACTTATATTTTTGTGACTATTTCGATTCTAATAGATTGCTATTTGCAAATATTACTTACGATTGTAAGGAAGGTAGCTAGCGGCAATATTCGCAGGGGACCTGAAGACAACTTTTCTTATTTCCCCCTTATTTTCGGTTTGGGTCAAACGTTGCTTGTGGTAGAGGCGAGGACTAGATGATTGGAAGTGTTTGGAGTGGGGGGTTTTTGAATAGGGTGACGAGAGCAAGTTGGTATTTTTTTTTATTTTTTTTTCTAGTAGCACTAAAGTGCTTTTTCCTTAAATTATTTAACATGTGTCTATCACATAATAGTTTAATCACACAATTCGAAAATCCTTTAAAATGACTAACCACGCCAAAAATGTTAAAGGTTGAATTTTGAAGTGTGAACTTAAAGGCTAGACATAAATTATTAAGAGACGTTGAAGGTTTAAAATTAAGCATATATTTAGTTTTGCTAAAAATCAGTTTTTTAGTAAATTTTGATAAAAATTGATGAAATATGGTGAAAAAATTTATAGAAATTGAAATTCTCATAAAATATGTTATTAAAATTAATTATTGACTTTGATTTAGATTAAACAGAGGCTAAATATGCAATTTTCCATTGTAGAGAGAGAGAGAGAGAGATTTGAATTGGGATGTCCGTCTGAACTTGGATTATGCTTGAACATAAAGGGGAAACATCCATTTTTTAAATATTGCAAGATAAACCATGTTCTAAAAAGTAAAGGTAGACTAAATCAAGATCATACTAACAGATTTAGTTAATTTGAATGTATAAAAGGCTGAATTATTTGTTAAATTAGGTTGCATTAAACCCCAAGACTTAGATTTCATGTTAAGGATGAGCTAACGGAAATTTGGATGAAAATCATTCAAAGGTCCTTAAGAGTGCTAATTTAACCAAAGGTTAGGTCCTACACTGCAAAAATTAGAAAGTTTAGGACCCCTTTGCACTTTTTGAAAAATTCAGACCCTAGATGCAAATTTAATTAATTCATTAGGTTAAGTATCAGCTATTTTAGTAATCTGAATCTTCAGAAACTTAGTGAAGTATCAAGATTATATTGAAGAACAACATATCTTCACTCATAATTTTAGATAATTCTTTTATACCTTTTGATGAAGATATGTCTAATGGGAAGAAGTTCTCAAAGCAATACGGCTTCTTGCTTGTAAATTTATTATAATAAAAGTTGCCATAATTGCATAGTATGAGAGGTAAGCTTTTCGTATTTTCTCGACGATATGACTCTTCATGCTATCGAAAAAATGAGAAGTAATTTGATAATTTAAAGTTGATGAAGCCGTGATATATTTGACGTGTAGATCAAATTCACTTTATATCAAACACGTGACACACATAATATATTAAAATAGATAGTAAAAAAATAAGTATTTTCTCACACTTTCCTATCATTTTTAGAAGTATAAATCGCTAGAGAATAACAACACATAGTGCACAATGAATATAGATTTGAATAGCTATCTTGTCTTCTTGTGCTTTGTGTCAAAGCGCTGAGAGAACAGTTCAATCAAATTTTCATTAATTTTTAACTTACTGTATACATATTGTTACTTAAAGATGATTGTTTTGCAACTGAAATCAAAACACTTCACAAAGTAGTGAGCATGACATCAACTCTTCTACCTTTTCCCTCTTTTTAAAAAGTGTGTGAAACCATTCAGTTCCATCAATTCATCTATCTGTGTATATCATAATCCTCTTCCCCACCACTAAACCTTTATAGATTATTGTGCAAATAATAAACCAATGAGTTATGTTATCTAGTACTCTCGTTTGATATCAATCTAGATTATTGTACGATCGTCACGACATAATGTCACACTAACTTTACGGTCACACAACTAGTATTGAATAGCACGAGTGCTAGAAGCATTATTCTAAAGAAGTTGTACAATTTTAAGGGCCCATTTGACATGTTTTTGTTTGAGATTAACAAAATGTGTTTGAGATTAAGGGCTCGTTGACATGATTACTTTTACTATTGCTTTTACTTTTTGTAGAAGAATTTTTCGGGAAAGTTATCTTATGACCTATTTGATTGGCCAAGAATTCCATGGAAAGTGAATTCCACTTTCTAGTTTTATCCTTGTTTGATGACATATATTTACCATGGAATTGGTATTCCATGTTTCCACCCACGCGCCACTTTTCCTTGTTTTCATGGAATTTCAATTCTTATGGGTATGATAAGAATTGGAATTCCAGGCAATTTTTATTTTTTTTTTTGGTTGGCAATGGAAACAAATTTTAAGAATTATTGTAAAAAAATATTTTCCTTCATTTGGCAATTTCTATGTAAAGCAAAGTCAAACGAACACCAAAAGATATATGATTTTCTTGAATTTATTTATTTACTTTTAGTTGTTGACAATGGAAACAATTTCATCCCCAATACTAGTAAAATCTATCCCTATAATTGTCAATTTTCATTTAAAACAAAATCAAACGAACACCAAAAAATACTTTTATTTCAACATATTCCACATGGAAAATTATACTAATCAAACACAATAATTTATAATTCTCAGGAAAATAATTTATAGGCAATTCAATTTCCTAAAATTCGTTTTCTTTCCGTCCAAATTCCATCTTTACAATCAAACGGACCATTAAATTTTATTTGAAAACTAATTTTTAAAAGAGTTTCTTAATTGAAAACTAGTTTTAGAGGGATCCACATTAGACCATCTTCTAAAAGTCATTCTAACAAGAAGAAATTTTTTGAATTTCTTAAAAGCCATATCAAACGAGCTTTAAGAAGATTTTTTTGAACAATATGGGTAATTTGTAGAAGTGCTTTATGTATCGTTAAGAATTTCTAAAGGAATCCGTCTAAAAGCTCTTTTAAACCAAACTTTTACTTCTACTTCTTGTAAAAGAATTTCTTGAACAAACTAGCTTGTTTGGTATAGACTAAATTCTAATTTTAATTTAAAGTTAAAGTCAAACAATTAATATTAATCACATCTACAACTTTTCAACCACACATTTCAAAAACTTCTATAACGATCTACTAAAAATTATAATTTTAATTTTCACCAAACACCTTGTATATTTGAAAACAAATATTTGAAAGAGCTTCACAACTTTTGGCTCTCAAAAATTTTTTCTCACCGGGAAATAGCTTCCTTTAAGAACTGTTCTAATGGGAGCCTAATCAAAAGCAGAAATTGCCCCAAGTGTCAGTACTGCAATTGCCCACTTAGAACATTGGGAAAAATTAGTTGTTGTCCGACTCATGCTGATGTGGTAAGATTCAGGCCCTTTTCTTGTTAACTGTCTTTTAAGTGTGAACTGAAAACTGGATTTTGTAGGGCTGAGTGGAATTTTATGTAGCTTCGGACAAGGAAGGAACCTTTCGGTGTTCAATATTCTTTGGACTATCTATAAAAACCACCCTACGCTACTCTGATTTCCCTCTACAGAACTTCCTTTTCTCTGTATAGATTCCATTAACATTAGATTTTCCCATTCCTTTCTCAAGTTTACAGGAATTTGAATTCTGGGTTTTATTTAACTTTATGCAGTTTAGGTTGGGGGAGGGGGAGGATTTTAGCTAAAAGAAAACTTTGAATTTCTAGAGGAAAATGATACGGTTGTTAAAGGGGTGGAGTGTATGGAAGTTCTTTGCATTTATTGAAAACAAATTTTGTGTTTCCAAGAGCTTTTATTTTTGGATTTTTCAAATTTTTAATAGGTATAGCTTGGGCACTTAGCCAAATTCTTGATTTCCTAAATTTGCAAATTTTTCCAAACTAAGCGTGTGTTTAGGCTTGTTCTTGGTTCGTGTTACTCTTCGTAATGTGTAGTGCATTTTTGCCGCCGGGATTTCGATTTCATCCCACTGATGAGGAACTGATTGGCTATTATCTTAAAAGGAAAAATGAGGGACTTGAAATTGAGCTGGAAGTCATTCCAGTAATTGATTTATACAAATTTGATCCATGGGAGCTGCCAGGTACTCATACAATGAACTGCTCCCAATGTATTCGATGAATTGCTTATAAGACATGCTCTGTTATTACAAAAATTTGTTTGTTCATTGCCAAAATGTCCAGTTTTATCCATTTATGACTTTATGTTGGATTCATGTGAAGTACATATTATTAGTGACAATTGCCATTAATAATGAAAGACGCTTAACTAAAAATGTTAAATTTTGGTTCGTGAGGATGAAGAATTGTAATGTCTTGGCCATGAAATGCAGAAAAATCATTCCTGCCAAAGCGCGACATGGAGTGGTTCTTTTTCTGTAATCGAGACAAGAAGTATCCAAATGGCTCACGAACTAACCGAGCCACTAAATCAGGATACTGGAAAGCTACAGGAAAAGACCGTAAAGTCGTCTGTGAGTCTCAAGGCTACCGCAAGACCTTGGTTTTCTATCGTGGAAGAGCACCACTTGGGGATAGATCAGATTGGATTATGCATGAATATCGTCTCTGCGATGATGTAACCAACGACACCCCAAGTTTTCAGGTAACATTGATAACATTTGCAGTGACAGTTTTGGACTCTTTGTACAAACTGAAATATGGATTGAAATGGAAATTTAAAATCTGCAGGGAACTTTTGCCTTGTGCCGTGTTGTCAAAAAGAATGGAAACTCTGAGAAGACCTGTGCTCATGGAGATTCTGCATTTAAGCTGGCTGGAAATAGTTCTAGCAACAGTGATCAGTTCACCTTAAGTGCTGTCTCAAATGAACCGGTGGTCACTTCTGATAGCATTCCTTTACAAACCAGTTACATTTATGGCGAGAGTCATCATACAATTCCCGTTACTTCTCAATATCCCGTAGAACCTATTGAGGGATATGATCTCTCTACGAGCCTCTGGGGCCCTCCTAATATGATTCTTGATTCCTATAAGGTAGTAAGATTATAATTGGGCTCATGTAAAAAAAAATTATGTTATCAGGTTCTTGTTTGAAGTTTATAACTGACTGAGTGTAATTGGTACAGGAATGCTATCCACAGTATGATCAGTTTCCGTACCTGGGTTCATTTCTGCCACAGGAGCAACATAATATGTCACAAAGTTCATCTTACTCAAATTTTACAGAGGAGGTTGGACTTCCGGACAATCTAACTCAGTATGGCTGCATCTCACATTACTCATTTCAAGAGAGCTATGATGGATATCCAAGCAAATGAGGATTCAAGTCAAGCACATTGAATCATCTATATATCATTTTAAGAGTATGCCACGAGCCTTGAGACGGCACCATTTAATGTTTGTCTTGGATTGGATTAAATAAACAAACTGAACTGGCAATTGTCATCATATTCAGTGTTTCCGCAGATTTTAAAGAAGCTCTTAACCAGCCTTAGCCTAGCTGACGTGGGAGTTCGTTGCTTTCCTGCATCTAGCCCGTTCTTTATGGTCAAGTTGTATCAAGACCCTGCTTTTGTACTACTGTGAATCAAAAAAAGACCTCTCTTAGTGATCACTTTTATTGATTTCACTAGGAATTGGTCTTGTATAGTATATATGATCACTAGAGGAACAATGTTGATTTAATATATGTATTTTCTTTAATCAAATTGGGGTATATGAATGGAATTACTTTACTATTCAAGTGGCTTCTTAGTCTAGGCTTCTTCCTAAACTAAATTACTTCGATGAACTGGCTATCTTTAGGCTGCTTTCTGAAGTTATGGCCCCCACATTGTTTTTTAAGAGCATACCACAAGCAGAATACTGCATCATGCCATTAAAGTCCATAAATTATTGAAGTGTCGTTGTTAGAGATGTAAAAATGTACCGAGTCATAGGTTCTGACACGAGAATAGAATTTTAGTTCTTCTAGAGTGATATCTCACTGATGGCTTGTGCCCCCTCTGGAATGAAGCCTTCTTCACCTTACACCTAAGCTACAGGACTTCCACACGGCACCATCGGATCACTAAGGCCGACTTTTGTCCTTGCTTGACCGGTGAGTCTTGCAGTTAAGCTCCCACCCAAGTTCCATAGCTTTTGCTCCGTTATTTTGATCATGAATTTCCTACCTTTGGGGTGGGGGAAGGTAAGATATCATGTGCTCAAGCAAGATTAAGCCCAGCCTCGACACGAGCTGTAATGTTGGTTGAAACCCATGCAGTCGGGCAGTGCACCAGAAATGTTAACAGAATCTTGAAATTAAGAAAACTCGAACACAATATATTAAGTCCCCCTTTTAGGCCGTTTCAATTTCAAACTATATCATAAGGTTACACTTAACACTATCCAATGTATGTCCCAAGGTGTACAGTTCTTTGTGAAAGAAATAGTCCAATGAAAACCCAAATCTATAATTGAATTCCCTAAATCATCAATCTGTTCCATGAGATGGCAAATGGTTCTGTAGAGGTGCTGCAATCTTTATTTCAGTTTTTTCAGTTGTCAAACTGATTTGATGATCACCTGCATTGAACTCCCTGAAATTAGCTATCCTTCCCAATTCTTCGACTTCCTCAATGACAAGATCGAGCCTTGCAACCGTCTCGAGTAGAAGCGAAGCAAAGGCGGCGAATGGCAGTGCTTCCGAGAACTCAAGACTAGTTAAAGCAATCTTGCTTAAAGTTGGCCTTAACATCTTTCTTTCAGACTCATTTACCTGTTCGGAATTCGTATTATTCCTTTTGGATTTCCATTCAAGCAATGCGGACGAGTCTGTTTTAACACTTGAAAGAGAAATTCCGCAGTCTTTTGTATTCGGCTTTTGCCTAGCTGTTGCAGTGGCTGCGAAGGTTAACATGTTTCTAGTGGTGTCGTTGTTGGGACCGAGAAAGAGCCTCGGTTGGGATTTTAGCGCAGCATCCAGGTCGTGTAAGGCTTCGTGTAGATGGTCGGATAAAATCTGGGGAGAGAATTGACGACGATTTCTTATGCTGTCAGCCAGTTCCATTAAAGCTTTTGATACTTCTCCAGCCACTCGAATGCACGGATCTTTGAAAAGAGATCGAACTAATCGTGGAGTCTACATCGTAAGGGACAAAAGAAAATGAGTTTAGTGAAGGGAAACTCTCAAGTCTAACTCAAAACACAAAACAACATATTTAAGAATCGTGTATCCCTACAAGGATATGAACAGAGAAGTCATGTTTAAATACGATGAAGATTAAATTTAAATAAATAAATGTGTCATCTATTTATAAAACTCGGGCAAATATCCAACCAGTGACTTCTTGATCTTAATTGATGAATCTTTTAAGTGAATTTAATTGATATTTCAAGTATGAACAAATACTGTTAACATACAATCTACAATACACAAGTTACCACAGATCCACATCTGAATAACCAAGACTCTCTCCCAGTACTGTATTAATTTGTTTCTTGTATTTTTCTAGATAAAAATAGTAACAGTCCAAAGTGCCAAGTACCGTGCCTCTGAAAAATAAAACTACTCGACAAAGATTGACATAGTATCGTCCAAACACATCCAGTTTCGATATATTAACTTACTTGAATTTCAGTTCGCAGGCATCCATGTAATGCTACAACTGTATATCCAAAATGTCGAAGAACGCCACCCAACTTGACATATTGCTGCCATGGGAACCTGTAACAATGTATCGAATGCCTTGGTTCCCAACTCGCGTGTAATGCCTGCAAATATCAATCAAATGTTAAGAAACCAGCTCGTCTTTGCCGGTTAGGTACATGAAGTTGCTAATCTGCTAACTCTATCTCCTGTGGACCGACTTCTCAAAAAGAAAATTTACCAAGGTCTCATCTGTGGATTTTGAGTCAAGAACAGCCTTGTAACCTTTGTCGATGGGATCTTCAGATGATTTATTGGTGGTATCACTTGTCTCTTCATTGCTAAAGTATTCATTGACACAAGCTGCAATATATATATAGAAATGATCATATACTTGACTGCTGTTAAGATTTGGGTTCCATCTTAAAATATCAAATTTGGTAAGAAAAGTAGCCTATACCCTTATAAATTGGTTTATATATTCATCTTTATTCGATTTGAGATTATATCTCTTAACATGCTCACGCAAGATGGTGCTCTTTTGAGCAGACTAACCTTAAAATCCGTGTGCTCATTTTTTTTTAATCTTAATGGGATCAAATTGCTCGTTAAAACTTAATGAGTTTTGATATCATATTAAGATTTGTGATTCCATCTTAAAAGGTCAACCTTTTTAAGATGAGTAGCCCAAACCTTTATAAATTAGGCGATATTTTCATTTTTATTCGATATGGGATTATATTCCTTAACACTCGCATCGTAAAATTGTAAACTGTCAATTCGGCTGAACAGAATTATGTACCTTCGATTGATTTTGCTAAGCCCTCGACCTTAGATGCAGTGGAATTATGAAGATCTTCGCCCGACCAGTTTGGGAATATGACAAGGCTCATAAGGAGACAGATTCCACAACCTATGGCAATTGTAAAAAATCGATCCTGGGCTATCTTCAACACGTTATGAACACGATAACTTGATACAGTAATCAAATTGAAGGTCAAGAGGAATATCACAACTCCATAGTCGTAATTTTTCTTTATATAAGGAAAAAATCTCATGTAGGTGGCTGCTGTTCCTGTCAATTTCACAAACAAATTCTTGCATTAGTTTCAGTTCTTAATTTTCTCCCATCATTCAAATCACTGTGCTTGAAACTTACCAATAAGGAATACTGCAGCACCAATGAAAACAGCGCGAAAAATACGACCAGATTCTTGAGCAATATACTCGATCAAAAAGGCCAGTGATCCCGCTAACAGCGTTCCAAAACCTCTATTTAGTCCTTTGCATAATGTTGCGCCTAGTATTTCAACATCAAAACACAAAATTAATGATGTAATGTATTGTAAAGTCAGGATTAGATGAAAATGAAGCGCGTTTTTTCGTTACACACCTGCAGTAAACTCAAGCACAACTACAACAGTCATGACAGCCCATATGGCATTCTGTCCAATACCTTTGAACAATGGCTCCATTAAGTACAACAATGAAACCAATGTTAAGGACAGACCAACTTTGAGTGAATGAATAACCCTACGAGGATCTTCTTTCCCCACTTTGCATATATTTGCCCATGTTAAACCTGGCAATTTTTTCATCTTTTCAACAAAAATATCAATATGCTTGCTCGTCGTCTCAATTTTAGTGCTCGAGACATAATTTTCCCCAGCCACCCCCATTGTGACTCCTGTGAACATAATCCTAGGCTGGGAAAAAATTAAAGAGTAAAAATCAATAATTTTGAGGGCTAACAGAAAAAGAAAAGAATAGAAATGGAAGGCCTTTGAGACAGTGTTGAGGAAAAAAATCGCTACAATGACGCCAACCAACGCTGCGAAAAATAAAATACGAATTTTACGTGGTCCAGCAAACGTGCAGACGAGGCTACGAAGCTATGAGAAGTGGTACTGTTTTAGGATGGTTGATGTTCAGAACATCCCGTGCCACTCCAACTCCCAACCAGAAGGGCAATAGTTCCTTTATATATGAATATAGGTAGATTTGTGATGTTTCTACATTCACATGCTTTCCCACATAAAGTAATGCTGATATTGAAATCCCATAACTCTTGGAGTTACCTAAAGTCAACCACAAAAAGAAATCACTACAAGAAAATTAATTACATTAGGTGTAATTTTTTGGGGTCAATGATAAGGTCTAGGTTGCACTGAAACAGAAATAAGAAGAACGACATCTAGGATTTTATAATGAGTAATGCTATTTAACATTAATGATGCTACAACATCAATCTAGGTGACACTAAGTGTTATTAAATGAAAAATACAATTAAATGAAACACATAATTTCACATTTAACTGAAATTATCACTGTTACTAAATAGTATTATTCATTCATAATACAAAAGTATACAACACTCAATTTAAATAAGACATTAATTGGACTCGAAATGGAGTTTTATCATGAAACTAAACAAAAGATTAAGTCATTCAAGGTTGCCATTTATTTACTTTCAAATTCAATCATATCATTATCATCAATGTGATGTTCATTTATGGAAAACCTAGAGAGAGCTCTACAATTTCTTACAAAAAGGCCTGTTTGACAAAGTTTGTCATAGGAATATTAACGGATATCGATAAAAGTTGATAAAATATAGTTAAAAAATTTATTAAAGTTGTAGATCCCCCAAATGTGTATTTAAAATCGAAGTTTGACCAATTAAAAAGTCGATCAAACAAGGTGAAAGAGTCAAATTAATTTCGAACTATATTTGATATTTTAGTTTCTCAATGTAATACTATGAGCTTCTTGTTAAATTACGAAGATTGCTATGTACAAAATCAAATTCTCATTGCATTTTGTAATTATGTCGAATTAATAAAAAGATTAGTACTCTTGATTACGACATGACAAAGAAGCAAGTTATTCAAGCAACTATAAATTAAGTTTTCAAAACTACTTGTAAGATTAAGAAGTTGTTTTTGAATATACTTAGATAATCTTATGATTTGTCTGACGAAGTAGATAAATTAGCTTTCTCATTAAGCTCTTCTACAATAAATAAAAGCAAAAGTCATGCTAAACAAGCTCTACATAGAGCAATTCGAGTAGCACTAATGATGAAGCAACATGTGAGAAAACTCGGCCATTTG